TGAAGTATAATTATCTTTGTGTTGTTTTTCTCTGGATGTTGCCTGTTGTAAACGGCACTGCTGCAGGTCTCCTACCACACACTGGTATTCACATATGATTTGACCAGTCAGTGAGTTTCCAGTCGATCCATTACCACTTACTTTCCTCAGGATGATGACTGCAGAGCGGCGCGTTCAGAATGGGTCTGGGGACAGGTGACCGCCGTTGTGTATGAGTAAGGAATCAGTGTTACAGATGACTATCACACTTTGGATCAGACACCACACTGCCTTTGATTAATAATGTCTGGCTATGCAGTGAAGTTAACTTCTGGTACTGTGTGCCTTGAATGAGCTGACCTTTGTTGCACTCACACATAGTTGTGGAGTCTTTGTTGTGCTTCAGCTGATGCTCACGCTGAGATTTCCACTGGTCTTGCTGAGTTTTAGTGGGGGAACATTGCCAGTGTGGGGGCCTGTCCGGAGCAGCCGGGCGGAGGCCGCGACAGCCTGAGTCTCGTCCACACTCCGAGGGCTCCCGCTGCATTATCCAGTGTCAGGAATTTCTTGGGGGTCAGTTTGGCTTCTGATGAGAAGACTGTGCATCGCAGGACTTAGGTTTCTGGAGCTGGAGTTCCAAGAATTGTATCATAGATAGCTGCTTTTCTTGCCAGGCAGTCTGCTGTGTTTGTATGGTTTCAAAGGGGTTTGATTGTTTTATCAGTGCCCACTCATTGGCTACAGTCCCAACACAGCTCAGACACTGCAGACTTAATATTTTTTTCAAACAGTGAGAGACAGGTACTCACAGATAGCCTGCTCCTTCTTCAGCGTCTGGGGCAAACACAATCAATGGTTGCTATAGGTGCTGCTGTGCAGGTAATGAAAATAAACTGGCACCATGGCTGCCAAAAGTGGCACTAGTTGGATATTGATCAACCATATTGTGTGAGCGGAGCTGTATTATTTCAATTAAAGGACTTCTTCAGTGATCTGTGATGCTTTATAGCGGCAGCGTGCTTCAGTGTTGTGAAGTTCAGTTTTATGAGTTCTAGAAATCTCTCCTGACTTTCACTGAATGTGACTGCTCTGATGTTGATTCTGTTTAGGTTAGCACAGACAACTCTCAGGCAGCTGACGAGGCCAGCGAGGAAGCTGATGTGCACCAACTGTAAACATGTGAACTGCCAGATCAGGGCAGGTTCTCGGCCGCACTCTGTGTTCTTCACTAAACGAAGCCAGGTGCTGCTCGGTGAGCTCTGCAACAGTCTGTCTCACTTTCTCTAATTAAGCTGATCTGTCCAGCACCATGACTGCTCCCCCTCCCGCTGCCTCATTCCTCAGAGAGATCACATTAGCTATGAACTGCACCGACTCGAACATTTCAAGCCGCCTGTTACCCCACTGCCTCTCTGCAGGCTCAGATGCACTGCGCCTGGGAGTCCAGATTTCTCAGGAGTCGCTCCTGAATGTGCACTGTGTCATGTGCTCTGCCATATTTATTCTGTTCACAGTTGCTGCATGAGCATAGGTAGTGATCTAAAACTTTGACACTAAGAATCCATGATAATCCACTTTAGAAGAAAATAAGGAAATGTCGCTACAGACCTTGGTCACCAGCACAGGACAGTGCACGCTTATTAAATAAAGCTTGATTAGCACCCCCCCCAAGACATTCAGAGTGGTCTATTAGTCTTTAAGCCTAATGGCTGATGGATGGCTTTAATTTGTATCTTGGAAATTACAGTGCTAATCTGAGATGAATTACCAGTGAAATCAGACTCCAGACCTTTCTCCATCCTCTCTGACCCCCTCTTGCCATTTCTCTCTCTGCTAGATTCAAAGCTGCAGTGCAGTTTCCCATTTACACAACAGAAGGAACTAGAGAAATGGTCAAATTAATGAAGGCAACAGCGAGCGGCTAACAGAGACCGTTTTTGAGTCGTACTTGTGTTTCAGGCCGATATCCTCAGGTCAGTTTATGTTCTCACGGCTCTATAAGCCCTGGGTGAAGGGATGGAGAGAGAGAGAACAATCAGCAGCCGCTGGTTTGGGAGGAAAAGCACTGGGATTTTGCTGCTTTTAGATTTTGACTGTCAGTGGCTCATGTTTGAATGACTAATTACTACAATGACTGAGAAATGCACGCTCCATTATTTAATCTTGTTTGACACCACCATTTATTTTCCTTTGTAGATATCTGAACCCACCAAAGGTTTGATGATGTTTCTCCCTCGACTGAGTGGTTATTAATCCGCGTTGTGCTTGGGACTTGGGAGTGCCGCCTTCTTCTTTTAGACTGGAGAACCTTCCACTGTGCCATGTAATGTTTTGGCAGAGGTGGCTGTTGGTCTTGTTAATAAGAGGGCTGTTGGAAAGTTCACAGTGTGTCCATTGTCATCGCTGTAGGAAATGGAAGGCTGATGTGTTGAGGCTGCCAGTGTGCCAACAAACACATCTTTGACGTAGGTTATTTCTGTTGAAGAATAATGTTATTCTTTAGAATCTGAGTGTCGGCCGTGTTATGTTTTGTCACTTCAGTGGGAGCAGATGTGGATGGATGGTGGTACTGTTGTGAGGACCTCTGTGGTCACTTTGAAGGTTGATGTTGTGTCCCCTCACCTCAGGATGTGCATGTTCAACATGGCAGTGGTCATATTTTTGTAACTGACTGAACATAATCACAGAAGAGTGTTCAAATGACCTGAGTCATCATTAAACACGGGGGTTTCCATGCACGACCCTCGGGTGAGTTGTTACTTATGTTTCTATAGAGTCAAGTCAAGATTCCAGAAGAGCAGAGCTGTGGTAGACTGTGCTGGGAGTTACCTCCTTTTTATTAACCTGACAGCATTCGGATCTGTCGGCTTCATGTCCAGTCATTTGGCAAACATCATGTGTGCAGCGTGGCTCCCCCCGTCATGGTCGCTGGGATGTCGTGTGTGTTATGAAGCTGTGAGGAACAAGCTAGAAGTGACCTGTGTCAGACTGAGAGAAAGCAGGTAACGGATCGATGAAGCCAGCGGTGTTACATATCTGTTACATGTCTGGTGTGTGTTAAGCAGAGTGCCTTCTGCCCTTTCTGATGGTTACACTTTCATATGGAGCCAAGTAAAATCAATGCCCCTGATATTTAGCAATTAACCATCACATCACAGATGTTTAAAGCACAGACCTGTTGTTGTCTGGAGAGAAATGCCCCCAAGCAGGTTCAGTGAAGTTCTCATGAGCGTTCACGCTGTATGTGTCTTACATCTCAGGGGTCATTCAGGCCCAGGGCCCCGGCCCCGGGATACCGTTGCACACCTCATGCTCGGGGGAGGCCGACCTGGGTAATGCCATCTCTGGTGGGGATTTATTTATGAGAAGATTCCTGTGAGCACACTGAGTTGTTAATTGGCTTGAACACAGGTTATGTTGACAGCCCGCTTTGGGTCAACCTTTACAGAAAGGGGACAATGCAGACAAAGGTTTTTCAGATGGAGAGCCATAGTACGTTATCCTGACACCACAGTGCTTCTGTTAAGCCGCACAGACCATCAAAACAGCAGCTAAGAACAAAAAGGCAGCTAGAAGACTCCTAGTGCTTTTTTGATGGTGTAGGAAACGTGTGAGCTAGTCAGAGAGGCTGCCTCTTGCACCTTGGTGAGTTTAAACTGTTAAAGGCACAGGAATCGTGAAAATATTGGGTGTGCTACGGTGCAGACACCTGGTAGAAAGACTTAGCTACCAAACATCATTTGTCACTTATCTGACATCTGATTTCCACGGATGTCACCTTTGGGAAGGATGAATGTTAACACAAACACACACTCACACACTCACAGCCCCCAGCTCAGCCAGCTTGGTGCGTTAGTAACACCCGTGCACATCTGTGTAACGCTCTGCAAGTGAGCATTAATTAGCAGCATGTTTGACTTTTTAAAACGTAAAGCTCTGCAGGTTGAGGTCTTTAATTATGTCCTTTTTGTATCTTTTCTGTCTGCAAATGATGTTCACATCAAGGGCTTGTAATGAGGAAATATTAGCAGGCCTTAGGTGGGGGCCACTGAAAGTCCCTTTAATGATGCTTTCATTTCAAAACTTAAAGGACCTTTTTACCTGTTTGATGTCAACTCCTACAATGGTAGTGACATTAGTTCGGTTAAAGAGCTGCACTGTAGGGTCTCCGTTCTTTTGTTAAAGGCTGTCTAAAGACCCATGGGGCTGTTTGCATAGGAAACGTGTGCACACTCTTTTTGTGCTGTGATTAGATTAGAAAGTTCATTGTTCACTGTTAAATGAATGCATGGAAACAGGATTCATGTTTTGAATGCAACAGTCTGTCCTTTTATAAGCCACTAATTATGGAAGTGGACACTAAGAGAGAGTTGTTATGCATTGGGTTAGTCTGATTCCCATGATGCATTGGGTTAGTCTGATTCCCATGATGCCTTCAAGACTCTTGGAAATAATCATTTTCTCTGTTGAACTAATTGTGACTGTCAAATAAGTAAATGCATATCAGACTGAACATTCTGCTTTATTCTTCTGATCAGACACACAACCTAGATCATAGAAGTTACACATTCAACCCTGCAGGATCATCTGCTCCTATGATTCCCTGTCCTCGTGTGAATAAGACAACAAATACTGTAGTCCTCTGCTTCATTTTCAAAGTGTAATCTCTGTTGCTATGAATATTGCCAAGCAAACTAGAAAGTCTGTGGGTCTGTTATAAATATTGAAAATTAAATGACTCATAGATCCTAGCAGCAATTTGGTAAATTGTTTCCAGGGGAGGGCTTGGAGCATGGAAATGAACGCTGACTCCTCTCCTGCAGGGAGTGGATCCCCTGCAAGGTACAAAGTACCTGCTAATCAAACAGCTCAAATGCCATTTGCTCAGTGATGTGGAATTAAGTGTGTCGTCTTAAGCTGTTTGTCGATGAAAAGTACATCAAAACACTGTAAATATGTTATGGGAGGTTACCAGCTGTAACTGTGTGTGTTTTCTTTTTTTTTTGGTCTTATCCTTGCAGCTGTCCCGTTCCCGCCCAGTCACCGGCTGACGGCTAAAGAGGTGTTTGACAGTGAGGGGAAACCAAAAGTGGATGTGCTGAAGGCTCACCTAACCAAGGAGGGTCGCGTGGAGGAGGCGGTGGCTCTGAGGCTCATAGGAGAGGGTGCTGCAATCTTGCGTTCAGAGAAGAACCTGCTGGACATCGAGGCCCCCGTGACAGGTCTGGAGTCACATACCGCACACTGTTTGGTCCCAGATGTGTGGCGTCACTGGGGCGAGGGCTCTGAGCCGAAATGTTTTTGGAAACCACTTCTGTGATTTATGAATTAGGCTGTATTGCTACATTTTTATCACATTTATTGACTTGTTTATACCAAAGCATGTGTTTGTCCATAAAGTCATCAGTCCACATCCCGTTCAGAGTTACACCATTACAATAACCTGTGCATCCCTGTTGGTCTCACGTGTTCAGATGTTTAGACAACATGCAGCTACAGACGGGTGAGAGAAAGGAAACCCTGAACAAATGGGTGGTCTCTTCCAGGATGACAGTGCCCCCCCCATGCACAGGGCACCAAGGGTCACTGGATGGTTTGATGAGGATGAGCATGATGTGAATCGTGGTCCTCACAGTGGTCTCAACCTAGCCACACACCTGTGGGAGGTGTTGGAGTGACATGCTCCACCACCATCACCACATGAGGGAGTAGATTTCAGAGGCTTGGAGAGTTGATGCCAAGGTGGCAGGTGGTGGCCCCGCACCTCGCTGAGACACTCTGTGTCGGGTCGTCCTTTAATCTGTCATCTGGCCGTGCACGTGTTAGAGAAGAAGCATTCTTGTTCTCCTAAGAGGAGACTGCAGGCTTACAGCGCTATGAAAACTTAATTTTCTTAATTGAGTCGCAGTGCCTCCTCCCGTCCACACATGAGCCAAGCACCTAGCCATAGCAGTGTGTTTTACTTTAGGAAACACTAATTTAATTTATCCAGTATGACAAAACTAACAAACTCTGCCACAGTCTCACTCTCATTAAGACACTGTACTGTAACCAAGTACAGCTGTTTTAATACTGAGCTGCTAAAATTGGAAAAAGGTAATGAGGCTAATTTCCCTCCTTCTTACGGAGCCATTAGCTGTTGTCATAAAGCATGAAGGGCATGAAAAGGTGAAACATTCATCACGTTTGTGTAGACAAACATTTTTCACAAGGTTTATTTATTTATTGTACAGTCAAGTGCTTTTTTTGCCGTCTCCAAAGCTGAGCTCATTCATCCGGCCTCTGAAGAAACCCAGTGTAGTAGGAGGCTGCCTGATATATATGCCCAGACCCTCTGCAGCTATTGTTGTCTTTCTTCCTGGTCAAGTGCCCTGCTCCTCCATTAGACTTTCTGATAAGGCTTCTTTGATGTTGTTGCAATCAGTAGCTGAGACCCACTCAAAGGATCTATTGTGGCATAATTTCCTCACATGGGCTCCTTCCCAACATGTGCTTCAGAGAGGCAGACTTCGCACTTGCTTAAATTCATGAATGCGTGGTCCTTTCTCAGTGTTTACCGAGGCCATTATGAGAAGACAATATCTTGTCTGGCTGCTGAAGAGGCTGAAGCTTAAAGATGCAGACAGGTTTGGACAATCAGGAATCTTACTGACTGCTTCTTTCTTTGCATCTGCAGACACATGAACAACAGGGACTAGAGCTCCTGTAGCACAGCTAGAAATCTGTGTCAGGTTTTAGAGTGATTTATGACCAAGTGTCACTGTCCAGTGTGTCCCTCATTAATTAGGGTACCACAGCCCATTTCTGTTCATACATTCTAAATCTTACACATGGCACCTTTAAAGTTTATTAGAGAAGATGAAAATATGACGGTGCTTGTTCCAAAGTGTTGGGTGTGGGAGAGATCAGATGACGGAGTAAGGATGCTGGAGTCTGTTACGAGATGTAAAAACATCCGATTTCCTGCCTTAACCTGATCACAGTCTAGTTTCTCGTGCTCTTACTGTAGTGGTCAGATTGTCATTGAAATCCTGAGGAGCTCACACAGAAAACGTTCTAACTGTTCAGTGATGGCCAGTAAACATCCTTCCTTTGTTGTGTTAGACTGTGTGCAGGCAGAGGATCCTGTGTGTGCTCATGTGCACGAGCAGTGAAGCGCTTCTTGCCCTCCCACACAACACCTCTGTGTCAACCCCTCTCCCACTCAGTCGTTCTTTGCAGCCAGGATTTCTCTGCTACGCGTGCTTGTGATCCTTGTTTCCCCAAACTCGCACACCGTTCTCTGTAAACACTTCTTTGTTTCTATCCGTGCTCCTCTTCCCTCTGCCGTGTTTTGTCTTTGTGCCACGCTCAGGAGCTGTGTTGCGTTCTCTCTCTCTCTCTCTCTCTCTCTCCTTGTGCACATCTCCAATTCCTGCACGACACATGGCCAGCACATTAGTATGTAAATATTTATCATAGATGCAAAGCACCATGACATGTCAGCTCCCTCTCTCTCTGCTTCTCACAGTCACACAGTCGATCCCTGGTTGGGCCAGATGGCAGGCATGGAGGGGGGGGTGTGTGACAAACGGAGCTGGCCACTGGGTACAGGCTGCTTCCTTCACACAAGTGGCCCATCATCAGAGCTCCATCATCAGCAGTCAGTGCTCGGGCCACATGCTAAAACACAATGAAACGTGTTTTACTGGAGCCAAGATGCATATTTTGTATATGTTGAGTTACTATCAATAAGTAAGTAACAAATGATAGAGAAATGAATTAGAAGAGCACTGATAAGTTCATCTCACTGCCAGATGTCCTGTTAGGAATCATTTGGTTACAGTTCTACTACTAAACAAGTTTAAACTTTCAAATATCAGTGGGTGAGACCTCACAATAGTCCCGCATCGGCCAGGCTGCAAACCATGTTGGCACACGCCAGTGTCAGGACACTGAGGTGTTTGCAAATGTTTAAAAGGATATTTCTGCTCTGCAAAATTCTGTGCATTTTTTCCATCTTAACTATTTTTGTTCAACGGAAATATTTGTAAGTAAGTATAAGTTTGAACTCTTCATGCCTCTAAACATGAATTCATCCAAAAAGGGGACTCACAGAGCTCATCAGCCTCTTCTGGACAGAGACTCTGCTGTATTAGCGTTAAGCTAACCCGTCTTTATTGTGGCTTTGCCTATTTACACACAACTAAAAAAGGCCGGCATAATGCTGCCCCTGTGTTCTGTTTACACAGATACCGGCGTCCTGGTAGTAGAGGTGACACATGTAACCATGCGTTTAACAGTAATGTTGTTTCTTTCAAATCATCAATGGCAGACAAACACAGCGGGGATGTGTTTTTTGCTTGTTGTGCACAGTTACGACACGATACAGTTGTGCACAGTTTACAACGTGTTCATGATCACAGGTTCTGTTTCTTGGAAGCAGTGTTAAAATCTAAACCCCGGTGGCACAGCGTCCACACAGCACATCATAGCTCCGCCCACAATCGCCCTGGCTGCCTCTCTCCATTGACTCAGGGCCTGAGATGGATTGGTTGAACTAATTTTACAACCTCTCACGGTACAACACAGGAGAGTCCACACTGACCCCACGCTAAGTGGTGTGGCGGACAGTTGGCACAACAATCCCACCTTATGGGCGGCACAGAGACGGATTCAGCCTGTTATAAGGGGTTTTGAGTAGTTAGTGCTGTACTTTGCTCTAAAGAGTCACAGTTAATGAAGGATTAGAAACCATATATCAGGCACGATGAGGTTTCTTGTTGCTGCTGTACTGGTTCCACATTACATACAGACTGATGTTCATAACAGATTGCTAGCTCCACCTCCGCCTTTGCATAAATGTGCTGCAGGATGTGAGTGCCATCAGAAAACCGGAGGTACTGTTATCATCCAGCCTCAATCAAAACATGATCTGGCACAGTGTGCCTCGTTCAATGAGGCTGGCCGTTTGGAGTGGCCTGTGTAGGTTCTGAAGCCAGGTTGTGTAATGCCCACCGCCCACTCTGTAGCTGCTGCTACGCAGGGAGATCACTTCAGTGCACAAGCAGTAGATGGCCAGAACGAATTGTTTCTCACTCCAGATAATGTACTCCCACCTGCTCTTATGTGGGTTGTGGTTCTCACCTCGTTTTTGTGTGTTGTGTGACAAGAGGGAGGGAAGCAAAGCATGTCTGTAGGTGTACTGGAGCAGAGCGCTGGGTGGATTGTGTGTTTGCTGTTGTGAAGCAGAGCCCTGAAACGGAGGAGTGAGCCGCTGTAGCGTTTTCTGTTTGATTCCCATCGAGCGGCATCATCCACGCTCACACAGGCGAGGTGCCTACGACTCACAGTGGCCGTCACATTGGCTCTTCTCGACCAGTAATTGAACTCTCACCGTCACCCTGCTGTTTTCTTCACTAGCCAGTGACTCTCCAAAAGGTCAGCCGGAGGTGCAGTCCTCCCACGCAGTGCTGTTGGTGTGCACTTCAGGTGAAGTTGCTGCCTCTCTACACCCCCACCTGCATCGCTGGCTTCAGAAACCATGAAAATATTAACATCTCTGTTAAAAAAAGAGCCTGTTTTATTGCAACCCTTATATTTGGGCCAAACTATAAACACAGAGTTATCACAATAATCACTCTCTTGGTGGTCATCCCTTCAGAACAGTTGCTGTACACAGATGGTTTCCTGTTACATCTATGTGCTTCTGTACAATAGATGCATTGTTGCCACTGGTGATGCTTGTAGAGCTCTTTATCAGGTCTGCAGCTGCTTAGATTTGCTGTTGTTGTCAGTGACATCAGCTACAAATTCAGTCCCACTCAGATTTTTCCACAGCAATAACCACCTTCAGCATCGTACGCCTTTGTGGTTCAAGCAAAATAAGTCACTTGGATTGTGTAGTTGTTGTCCTTTTATTTAAATTCATGCACATTTTACTTAAAGGTGCAGTGTGTGAGATTTCGTGTTAAACAGCCGTTTCACAGCGATTACCGTAAATGTAGGGCAGATTGTGCTCTCAGAAAACAAGTGTGGCTGACTTGACCAATCAGAAGCTAATGGCTGCACAGTGGGTTATCCAACACTGGCCGTGTTCTAGCTAAAGCTATCAAACTTGTAATAGGCTAAATCACCTGTCCAGCAGAAAACACTTCGGCATCATTTTGGAAACATTTGTCCCTCATCAAGGATTTTTGTCTGGGAAAGGCCAGACTACCGTTTATCCTCATCTTGTGCTGTCGCCTGCCCCGTTTCTTCATGTGTTTGCTTCTTCGACACACTGCACCTTTAAGTGTAGTGTGTTATCCATTAGTGTGAAGCCTTAATGGTGGCCACGTTACAAAGATACCCTCAAAATGTACAGCCTTCACTTCATTTCTTTCAGAAATAAAGAAGGTAGTTACTTTAATAATAACTGTACCTGCCATTAGGTTCTGTTTCAGCCATTTTTGTCCCATTAAATGAAATTTCCAGGAAGCTACTACCAACATAAATAGACCAGTGCTTCATAGTAGACTCGACTTGATTGCAAGAGGGAGTAAGGGCATCTGTAGAAATCAGATACAAATAATAAGGCTGCTTTTTGAAGGCGGCCCCTGCTGTGGATTTAAACAGTTACACAATGTGGGTTTAATACAAGACGAATGGTAAAGCAGAGGTTTTACGATGCAGTCAGGGAGAGCTGGTTCTCGGAGCTGTCTCACAAGGCTCGTAACTTGAGATAATTGCTCTCCGACGCTGTCCTCCAGCTCCCACTAATTGGGTATCTCTCTGAAATGTTTTTCTTTCTAACCATCTCTTTTTGTAGTTCTTGCTGCTAGATACAGTTTATACGGTGACAAAAAGTCAGTGTCCTTTTTCAAATTAGATTTCAATCTATTAATCCTGTTGTTCATTTCTTAATTAGCTGATTGTGCGATGACTAGATGAATTGCGGCACTTTGACAGCAGACAGACATCCTGCTTATCACTGCAGTCGCTGCGACAGAGGTCGCTGTGAATATTGCTGATTGTTATCATTATTATATTTGTTTATTGCGGCTCTCGGAGGAAGAAGGTGATTTACCGAGCTGGTTTCCTGAAGTCAGCAAAGAAATAAATGTCTCATTGTGGTAACTGCTGTTTTGATCACTCTGGCTGTATATGTTTAACTCGATGCATTAATTGTCTTAGTTTTGGTCAAAACCCAAACCGTCAGGGAGAGTGGGTCAGGGGCAAACCGTGCACTGTTTGAAACCAGTTGACAGCCTTGAACGTACTGGGTTCAGCGCCTGGAGGTCAGATCCTAGGATCCGGGCTCTTGCAGGATTTCTGTTCCCTTTTCACCCCCTTTTTTTTTTTAACTACGTCCAGATGCTTTCTTCTAAGTTTTTTCAGCAAAAGTACCTGTGGAGACCCAAACTGTGTGTGTGTGTGTGTGTGTGTGTGTGTGTGTGTGTGTGTGAAGACTATGCACTAAACAGACGCTTTCTCCAAGCCTCATTACCTACCTTCCTACATTCGGACCTTTAAAATGCCTTTTTTATGGTAATAAAGTTTTAAAATAATGTTTAGACTCCATGGTTATGCTTTCAGAAATTGTCTCACTTCTTTTCACCACTGTACTGTAGCTTCATAATAAACATGCAAAGAGAACAAGAGCCACAGTTTGGCTTTAAGGTAGAGGCGTTCGTGCACATCGTCAGTCCATCAGAGCCATTCAGCTGATGATCAGTTCACCTGACCTACTAATGAAGATGGGAGATTATCATTGTTCTTTTCATTTTATAATGTCAGGTTTTATTGTTCTGTGGCAAAACCAAGTTCATGGTCAGAAATTCAGGCCAACCTTTTCTTAGACAAACTTGACCCAAGTGCTCACACTAGAACGGGCTGAACACGTTCCTAGTTAGGGTCTGTTTGTAACTGCTGCGATGAGCCAGATCTGTAATCAACAGGACATGTTTGGAAATGTATACGACTGAAAGCCTTCTGTTGGGTCTCAGCCAATGAACCTGGAGTGTATTTGGCAGGGAAAGATGTGTTCATGTCTCGCTGTTCAGTCGGAACAGGTCGAGGTTGTGACGAGGACATGGTGGCAAAGGGAAGCCTGGAAGTGCACCATGTGATTCCTTTCCTTTGCACAATGTCATATAGAAAATAGCGTGAATTCAAGTATTAAAGTTTGTGCTTGTACGAGGCAGTAATAGTCTGACAGTCTGCTACACAGTAGAAACACAAAGCTGAATGGTTGCCACTTTCTGAGTTGATTGGATTCAGATTAACTCCACATTTTAGGTTTTGAGTCTGTAAAAGCTTCTGTTATGTCTTTTTTGGTACAAATGAGCATTTTTTTATTCTGCTTAGTTCTTTGCATAATTTCCTGGAGTAAGTGTGGGTTGTAAAGCTGACAAGCAGCAGCCGTCTGTTTTATGATAATGCCCTTGTCAGTTAAAAACGCAGAGTTTATACAAATACGTTTCACATTATTTAAGTATGAATTGTAAACTACCAGATAAAATGTTTGTACAGTTATGAATGGCCAATCAAGAAGGTTTTCCAGGGTCCCATGACATCCTCTGTACTTCTGTGTTCCTGGTTTCTAGGGTCTCTTATTAAACAAATAACGTCTCACCATGTTGCAGACACTTACAGCTGTTGTCCTGATGTGCTTTTGTCCCTCTCCTGCTTCCTCCCAGTGTGTGGAGACATCCATGGGCAGTTCTTTGACCTGATGAAGCTGTTTGAAGTAGGAGGATCACCAGCATCCACGCGCTACCTTTTCCTGGGGGACTACGTTGACAGAGGGTATTTCAGTATTGAAGTGAGTTTGTCTCTTTGTTTTTGTCCTCATGAGCGACTGATCAAGTGTGACACACACCATGTGCTCAGCTGAAGCTGTGTTTATTAATGCTTTCTTTGAGCATTGATCGAATCAGACTGCAGATAGAGTGGTAATACGCCTGGATAGCAAGTGTCTCCGTGTAGCTCCGGGTGTTGTAGGGAGCCAGGTGTTTAACCTGGACTGCAGGTTTGCATTTCCTGCCTTCTGAGGTGTGTCAGCCCGGTACTCCGGCTCCTGTCAAGCTTTGCCTTCTGTTCCAACGAGACTGAAATGTGCCACAAAATGTACTGCATGAATATTTGACTATGAAGAGGACTGCTTGTATTAAGCCACTCTGTGAACAGTGGGGGTCTAATGGTACACAAACATCACGGTACAGTCACTTATTAGGAACGTCTGTAAACATCAACAGTCGATAACGTGCCAGTGATGGCTGCGGCAGAAGGCATTATGTTTTCAGGTTGTCTGTCTGTCCCGTTCCTGAAACCGCGATTTGTCAGGAAATGTATTCAAATTTAGCACAAATGTCCACTTGGACTCAAGGATGAGCTGGTCAAAGTCAGTGACTTCCTGTTTGTCCCATTCCAGTGAATTTGACTGACTGACTGACTTATTACTAACTGCTCCAATAACCAGGCAAAGGCTGTTTAAATGGTGACGGAAGCGGAGTCTGTACCATGCTTGTTTATTCCTTGCAGCAGTGATATGCACACTCACGCGGTGCAGTTTCAAGTGAGTTAAAAAGTTTCTCATGCTGCCAAAAACACACCCAGTCACCACTGAACAAACATTAAGTGGCAGCCCGGAGTGCAGTAAACAAATAACTTGTCTTATCCATTTGTTTTTGTCTGTTCTTGTGTTTCACTGGGAGGCTGAAGTGTTCCCAGACAGGAGACCTTAGTGATGAGGGAGGGTCTTCTGGCTCTGGCTTCTTGTTTGCATTGGCCATGATGTTCACCAGCCAGAGGACTGGCTAAGCTAAAGGTGAATCCCATCCATCCATTATCTATACCGCCCAATCCCAGCTGACACTGGGTGTGAGGTGGGGTCCACCCTGGACAGGTCGCCAGTCTGTCACAGGGCTGACACTTAGACAAAACAACCACACACACACTCACAGTTTAGAGTCTCCAGTCAACCTAAGATGCATGTCTTTGGGCTGTGGGAGGAAGCTGGAGAGAACCTCACAGGCACAGGGAGAACATGAAGACTCCACACTGAAAGGCCCCGGGTCGACCAGGAAATCTCTTAAGGTTCGACACACCCCATTGTTGGAAATCAGTTTGTGATTGGGCGATTCACATATAGGACCGTTGGAAAGGACGTGTCAGTTAAAACGTGTTTCCTCGTTCCTTGCAGTTTGTCCTTGAATCTTTTCCTTGCGTCCTACATGGACGGGACTAAGACAGAAGGAGAAGAAGCAAGTGAAGGAAAGCTGGATGCCGTTGGTGGGGTTGGGATTCACCGCCGGTTTGCCGAGCTCTGGTCCGCCACTTAATATGTTCGTGTGGGAACGTGAATTTGAAAGAATGTTCTGCACACGGTACAAGCCTGCTGTTAAAGACTGTTCACCGAACCCGTTCGGTACCAAAGCGTGTACCTTTACACCCCCTGGCTCCAATGTCTGTTTTAAAGATGACCGTCTAACCAGTGTGTTCTCCTCTGTTTCAGTGTGTGCTGTACTTGTGGGCCTTAAAGATCCTTTACCCCAAAACACTGTTTTTGCTGCGTGGGAATCATGAATGTAGACAT